CTGTCACTAGTAGCCCCCTCCCTCACTCTGTCACTAGTCACCCCCCCACTGTGTCACTAGTAACCCCCTCCCTCACTCTGTCACTAGTCACCCCCTCCCTCACTCACTCTGTCACCCCTTCCCTCCCTCACTCTGTCACTAGTCACCCCCTCCCTCACTTTGTCACTAGTCACCCTCTCCCCCCTCTGTCACTAGAGTGAGTGACTAGTGACAGAGGGAGGGATGGAGTGACACAGTGACAGAGGGAGGGATGGGGTGACACAATGACAGAGGGAGGGGGTGACTAGTGACAGAGTGAAGGGATGACTAGTGACAGAGTTAGGGAGGGAGTGACTAGTGACAGAGGGTGGGATGGGGTGACTAGTGACAGTCACCACCTCCCTCTCTGTCACCAGTCATCCCCTCACTCTGTCACTAGTCACCCCTTCCTTCCCTCACTCTGCCACTAGTCACCCCTTCCCTCACTCTGTCACTTGTCACCCCCTCACTCTGTCACTAGTCACCCCCTCACTCTAGTGACAGAGTGAGGGACGGTGTGACTAGTGACAGAGAGAGGGAGGGGGTGACTAGTGACAGAGTGAGGGAGGTTGTGATTAGTGACAGAGGGAGGGATGAGGTGACTAGTGACAGTCACCACCTCCTTCACTCTGTCACTAGTCACCCCCTCCCTCACTCTGTCATTGTGTCACCCCCTTCCTCACTCTGTCACTAGTCACCCACTCCCTCCCTCACTCTGTCACTAGTCACCCCCTCTCTCACTCTGTCACTAGTCATCCCCTTCCTTACTGTCACTAGTCCCACCCTCCCTCACTCTGTCACTAGAGTGAGGGGGTGACTAGTGACAAAGTGAGGGCGTGACAGGTGACAGAGGGAGGGGATGACTGGTGACTGAGTGAGGGAGGGGGTGACTAGTGACAGAGTAAGGGATGGAGGGGGTGACTAGTGACAGAAGGAGGGAGGGAGTAGTGACAGAGTGAGGGAGGTGGTGACTAGTGACAGAGTGAGGGAGGTGGTGACTAGTGACAGTCACCACCTCCCTCACTCTGTCACTAGTCACCCCTTCCTTCTCTCACTCTGCCACTAGTCACCCCCTCACTCTAGTGACAGAGTGAGGGAGGGGGTGACTAGTGACAGAGTTAGGGAGGGAAGGGGTGACTAGTTACAGAGTGAGGAAGGGGGTGACTAGTGACAGAGGGAGGGGTGACTAGGGACAGAGTGAGGGAGGTGGTGACTAGTGACAGTTACCACCTCCCTCACTCTGTCACTAGTCACCCCCTCCCTCACTCTGTCACTGTGTCACCCCCTCCCTCACTCTGTCACTGTGTCACCCCCTCCCTCTGTCACTGGTCACCCACTCCCTCCCTCACTCTGTCACCAGTCATCCCCTCACTCTGTCACTAGTAACCCCTTTCCTCACTCTGTCACCTGTCACCCCCTCACTCTGTCACTAGTCACCCCCTCACTCTAGTGACAGAGTGAGGGAGGGGGTGACTAGTGACAGAGTGAGGGAGGGGGTGATTAGTGACAGAGTGAGGGATGGGGTGACTAGTGATAGTCACCACCTCCTTCACTCTGTCACTGTGTCACCCCTTTCCTCACTCTGTCACTAGTCACCCACTCCCTTCCTCACTCTGTCACTAGTCACCCCCTCTCTCACTCTGTCACCAGTCATCCTTCCTTCCCTCACTCTGCCACTAGTCATCCTCTCACTCTGTCACTAGTCACCCCTTCCTTCCTTCACAGTGACAGAGTTAGGGAGGGAGTGACTAGTGACAGAGAGAGTGATGCGGTGACTAGTGACAGTCACCCCCTCCCTCCCTCTGTCACTAGTCATTCCCTCCCTCTGTCACCAGTTATCCCCTCACTCTGGCACTAGTCACCTCTTCCCTCCCTCACTTTGCCACTCGTCATCTCTTCTCTCCCTTCCCCACTCTGCCACCATTAACCCCTCCCTAACTCTGTCACTAGTCACCCACCCCCTCACTCTGTCACCAGTCACCCCCACTCACTGTGTCTCCCCCTCACTCTGCCACCACTCAACCCCTCCTTCCCTCTCTCTGCCACCAGGTACCCCCTCACTCTGCCACCTGTCACAACCTCCCACACTCTTCCACCTGTCACCTTTTCCCTCATACACTCTGTCACCTGTCACATATGCATTCACATAGACACTATATACAAAAAAGCACATGTAGTCATCCAGACATGCACAAGTGCATTCACACAGACTCAAATACAAACATGCATTGATACACAGGTCTTCACAATATACACATCCAAAGGAATGCCGTATTATGAGTTATATTTAACATTTATTTAATGCATGTATATTTGGCCTTCAAAGGGCCTGGGATCTAATTTTGCCCGGGGGCCCCAAAGGCTCTCAGTCCGCCCCTGCCCACAAGTACCCTAATACTTGCATAAACACTAGCTACTTTTAACATTAACCCTAGCTTCAACCCAAACACTAACCTCAACCTTTACTTTAACCCGAGCACACTGACCCTAAAATAAAACAAACCTTGCATTATAAAATATACATACCATCGCAGCGTGTTATTAATATTATTATTTATATAGCGCCATCAGATTCAGTAGCGCTGTACAATGGGATTATGGGAAAATAAAGCAATTTCAGGATTCCAGAGACATTTTTTTTAACCCCTCAACCTTATGTTTTGTGGTTTAGGGATGTCTCCAGAAACCCTGAATGGCGTTATTTTCCCATAATGCAGGCTCTTCGGTCATATCATCTCTCTCTTTTTATATTTATAGATAAACCACACAAATGTGGAGGAAAGAAATCTGACTAAACAGATCATGCTTAGTGTTAAAAAGCTGCATAATTATTTACATAACACCCAACAGCAAGGTGATCCAATGACTTATAACAATTTGCAATGAATAAATAATTCAGAACACTAAGCAAACATAGGCCAAGTCATGTATGTTGCATGCTGGGAGACTGCACAGGGGACATTAAACACACGGGGCTTCTTTATCGCAAGGGGGCGATAAGTGAACATGTCTGAAAGCCCAGCTCTCTGCTTCTGTTATTTATAGTAAACCCTCTGTGATCTGCACAGTTAACCTCTTCCTCCCCTCCCCTACGGGATTAAGAAAGAAATAGAACAGTATCCTCTGCAACTATAATGTTGTAAATGTTTCCATGACAACAGCCTCCCCCCACCACCAAAAAATAAATAAAAAATCATCTCATATAATGAGGATATGAGCAGTAGGGGATGGATACAATGTAGGGATTCTTTATCTTTTAAGAGCCGTAAAAAAAAATCATAATGACTGTCACTTTAAAGGGATTCACCGTAAGGCTTTCTTGGTAAATGTTTCGTTTTTATTTATCTTTGCTACGTTTCTTGTAATACAGAGTAACAGGCTCAGATTTTCATCTCGATTTAAGAATAAATTGTAGGATATAAAACGTGTTGTTTCTAATGCGGACATTTCGCTGTGCGATCACAGAGCCATGAAAGGCGGACAGCTGTTAAGTCCGGTTGTTCGTTAAATCGGTGAAGGGTGACCTTTGACACCCAGGACGTTGGGTTGTATTTGATGGGAGACTCAGACAGCCGTGTGATAAACATTGTCTGCAGCAGCTGGAGATCAGAAAGCAGTTACATTGTACGTTGGTGATTTAGTAAAATATTTAATTAGAATTACAATTGTTTCTATAGCCCCGAACAGTCTGCAGCAGTGTACAACAGGTAAAGAAGATAAACATTTAATTCTAAGAAAACACTTATGACATATGAGAACAGGAGGTAAAAAAGGACTTGCCCAAACGATGTGATGACTGATACATTTGTGAAAAGTAGTAGTTTAGGAATAACAGTCCAAAAACTCCGGCACATATATAATTGTGCTGTAAGTATTTACAGGGACTTGATGGACATTGTCAATCATCTAAAGACTGCCACAGATCCTGTCTGAGCACTATCACGGTAATTAACTGAAGGTTGCAAGTGGTATGTAAGGCATATTGCAAGCAGAAATGTCAGAACTGGTATTCCCAGTGAAAAAGGTACTAACATGGAGTATGGAAGAATGACAAAAAAAGTAGTATGGTCCCCTAGTCACGAGCCAACTGAGGGCAGCTGGAATTAAATACAGATGGATGTCACCTGGATTCCTCACGATTTCACACAATTGGACTGTACACACAATCTCTACCATTGCAGACTCTCCTTGGAGCCTGGGTCCTGATGACTCCTCAACCCGACATTGCTGGACCATCAAGCACACATTATTGGGACCCATCACAGATTGTCCCTTTCACCCCTGCGGTGCGGTCAACTTGATGCAGCTAGATGCTATGGGCTATAGAGAGGTTTACTTTTGTGTTGTTCCTAAGTGCTTTCCACATCTTAAATTGCATCTTAAATTGCCCGCATCACATGTAATCTCCTAGGACCTATCCTAATTAGTGATGTCCCGAACGGTTTGCCGAACGGTTCGCCACGAATGGTTCGCCACGGACTCCAGTCAGCAGACACATTCCAGCCAATCAGCAGCAAACCCACCCTCCCAGACCCTCTCACCTCCTGGACAGCTCACTAAGAATGCAGCTTCAAAATGGATGCTGTCCAGGAGGTCGGAGGGTCTGGGAGGGAGGGTCTGCTGCTGATTGGCTGGAATGTGTCTGCTGACTGGAGTCTGTGGCGAACCGTTCGTGTCGAACCGTGGCGAACCGTTCGGGACATCACTAGTCCTAATATATTGCTCCTTACTCACAGGAACTTTGCTGATAAGGGTCTAGCCCTTTCTGGTAGGTGTCTAACTCCATACACCTACTCCCTCACTCCCCCATTACCACTTCATGGTAAGGGGTTTGCCAGCAGACAGCCTACATTTCCTCTAATTGACACTACTGTACCTGATACTCCTTGTTTTCCCCAACTAAGACTGTTACAATTGACTATCAGGTTGTTCTCTCTACACGGTTGTGTCAGCTTACACAAAATTGTTAATGCTTGTTGTCCTATCTTCCATACATGCCATTATGTCTCATGACATCTTTTGTCATATAATGCATATTTATAAGGGTAACATGACTAATATATGACAAGCATTGATTTAAAAATAATTTTACAAAAAGATTGTCAAACAGATATCTTTCACCAATTATGTCTACATCTGGACAGGTTTATGTTTGGAGAAAGCCAGAGGTTGTCCTCAACCAAAACTATCTCTTGCCAGCTGTTAAACAAGGTGAGGAATACACAGCAGAACACATGACCCTCTCATGGAGTGCACAAGATCTGATTATCGCTCTTCAGGGTTGTACAGTGTTTCTAAAGTTCAAGCACGTTTCCCAAAATCCAGAATGGTAATGCTCCCATCCACAATTATTATTATTATTATGATATTTATAGAGCGCCGTCAAATTCCGCAGCGCTTTACAATCACTGATCTCCACAGTATTAAACCTCTGTGAGATGTTCTAGAGCAGGGCATATAGTCTGTCAAAGAAGTGGAGTTTTCCATCTTGAAGAATGATTCCGTATCTCGCTCACGTTCTCTGGACTGCATTCCAAAAAGACTGTAGCTGTATCACAGCAAATGTTGGTTTCATTCGTCATTACAATAGGCCAGGGACTGTTAGATGGTCTTGGTATTTTGTCCATATACTTTATGTCCCAGTAAGTATAGATCATTAATCTGTAAAGAACTTGAATGTCAAAATACACCAATTATTCCTGTAAAGGACTCTCCATTTTGAGATGCACACTGTTCATCTACAGTTTTAGAAAACCTAGAAGTAAATTAACCAGATGTTTCACTAGTAATGAGAAAGTATTTTAGTTATGCAGACTGCTGTGTTTTTTTGTTTTTTTGATAGAACAATTCTTCTTCCAAACGTGCTGGTTCATACTTTGGTCGATGACAGGTGCTGCACATTTTCGATTTATTTTGTCTCTAAAGATCGTATAAAACATTCACTGCTGTTTTCAATTAGACTGTGTATCATGTTAGGTCAGGCTGCCGAAATCCAAATGTCTTTTCACTTTTATTACAAAAATTCGATTCCCCTACTATTAAACAGAGAAGTAATACGACAAAAAGGTGCGGTTTCAGTC